TCCAGGATTTGTCAGTGGGCTGCAGGTTGTAAGGAAACTTAATTTTATCTACATTTCTTTTTGCCTTTGTTCTCCACTTCTCCACATCACATACTTATTATATATTCTCCATTTTCCCTCACCCACGTACCCTACACCCAACACAAGTCTTTTAGAATTAACATAACTTGGAGTCCCTGAAGGAGTCCAAAAGCTAGGTGCTATGCAGAGTTCTGTGGTTGGCCTTCAAGGTACTTCTAGCTTTTTGACAGTTGAGGCAGAAGGCCCGACTATTGGAATTACAGGTGCATTCCTGGCCTTCGCCATGCATGGGCTGTTTCTAAACTAAAGGGAGAGGCTTATCTCGTCTTCTAACTGGAGTTGGGCAGGGTGATGATGCCTGACACTCCTGACTTGGCCAGATGGAGCCCATTTCCCCAGCAGTGTGTGAAGCTCTTGCCCAAAGTCCCGAAGCTTGAGTAGTATTACCGGCCTGGGTAGAGTGGCCTCTCTGAAAGCCAACACTGCTTTTGCATCAGTGGGAGATCCCTGGGGCCCCCGTGAATAGGTCGCAGTGGTGCATGTTGCAGGTGAACTGGGAGCCCCTGGACCCTGAGACCTCCACCCAGCCAGACCTGAAGGCGTTGTCAAAGGTTCTTGGTGTTGTCACAACAACGTATTCGACAGACACACAGCACAGTGGACGGATAGCACAAGCAGGAAAACTTATTAAAGTGAGAAGTACATTCTCGAGATATGAGAGCGGCCAAGCTCGAGGGAGAGAGAGAGAGAGAGAGAGCACGCTGCATGCCCTGGTGGTTGGGTTCCTATCTTTTGTTGACAGTTGTTAACTAGGGATGGAATATGTATTACTTGGGGTGGGAAGCAGGGTTCTCCCCCTTTTCTTCCGAAGTTGGTCAGGGGTTTCAGTCATGGTGATATAGTTTGGGAACAGAGGTGAGGTGTGGTGGGGTGAGGTCCCGACAACCAAGAAGGAAAGCTTGAGACGTTTTTGGTGCTCAGAAAGCCGGGGACAGGTCCCACTGGGCACAGAGAGCTGCCATCTGCTGTGATGAGCTAGGCTGGTGACACACTTGGGAGTTGGGGGAGGTAAGGAAAGGGGAGGCTTCAAAGGGATTTTCATATGGTAAAGAGGACCTACAGGACCCTGGAGGCCTTGCTATTGTTTTTTTTTTTTTTTTTTGATTTTTATTTATTTATGATAGAGAGAGAGAGGCAGAGACACAGGCAGAGGGAGAAGCAGGCTCCATGCACCGGGAGCCCAACGTGGGATTGATCCCGGGTCTCCAGGATCGCGCCCTGGGCCAAAGGCAGGCGCTAAACCGCTGCGCCACCCAGGGATCCCTTTGCTATTGTAAAGATTGATTTTCCCTCTAGCCAGGCCTTAGCCTCAGGACAGTTGGGTTGGGTACGCGTGGCCCTCTGCCCCTTCAAGTCTCTGCCCCTGGGCTGCAGGTGATCAGGACATTTAAGGGTATCTATCTGCATTTCCTTCTGGAGCCAGGTTATGGCTAAAATGCTCAGGGCAGCCCGGACTGCCTGGGGATTGTCCCACACACCCCACCTGCGGGGATGGGGGAGTCAGCCTCGGCTTTGTCCTCAGCTCCCTCTGCTCCCTCATCAGTGGCATCCTCCACTGTAGGCCCAGCTGGCCTGATCCGGCTTCCTGTGGAGGGCTCCAGGACAGGCCTGTGACCTTCCCATAGCTGGCCACCACTTCCTCCTTGCTGGCTTCTAGGTCTCCTGTTAGAGCCTAACATGCCGACTACTGCGCTCAGGCCCCAAACGCCTGTGACCCAGGCATTTCCTTATTTCTTAGGCAAGCCTCGCTGATTCTATCCTGAAACGCTTCAGAAGGCTCATCCTACTTTCCTCGGACCTGGGGTGACAGCAGCCTGGGCCCCGCATGACAGCCAAGAAGGGAGCAGGGTGAGAAGACCACGGTGCTATGAGCTTACCTCCAACCCCCCTGGGAAGTCACAGACTCGTTTGCTCCCAGGTACCAGGTCTGTCTCCCTGTCCCTGGATTTCCCTTTTGCGTCCCACCAAGGATCAGGCTTTGGAAGCTCCTGGCCAGTCGGGGTGGTGCAGGCCTGTCACCCTACTAACTCTTCGTCCTCTCCATAAAGCCCTGAAATATTCTGAGCAGCAGGGAGGGAGCCCGTTCAAGGTCCGCAAAGCTCTGATGCGCCCCCCCTTCTCTTCCCCAGCCTTCTGGCATCTGGTCAGAAAGGAGCTAGTGGTCACCCAGCAGTGCCAGAGCAGCTGGTCTGGAGCAAGGCTGAGGGAGAGCCATCAGCCACCTGGGACTCCTGGTAAGACTGAAGCAGGGCCACCGGAGGAGCTGCAGTTACTCCTTGCCTGCTGCTGGTTGGCTGTAGTTTATGTTTTTCTTGGATCCCTTCTCTCTGCCCTGCTGTGCCTCGCTGGGAAATGGATTTCCCCCTGCTCTCACCTCTTGCAAAGCGAAAGCCAAATTTCTCACATCTTACAAGGCGTTCTACTGCCCTCTAGCTCTCTCTTGATACAGTCCCAGGGGTCTTTTTGCTACTCCTGGAATGCAGCAGCTCCTGCCATAGGACCTTTGCACTTGCTGCCCCTCAGCCTGGAAGCTGGGCACCCACCTATCTACAGGGCTAGTTTCATCACTTTTTTCAGGTTTTGACATTTTATTTTACTGTATTTGACACAGAGAGAGTGAGCAAGTGTGAGCGCAAGCAGGGAGAGCAGCAGGCGGAGGGAGAGGGAGAAGCAGGTTCCCTGAGGAGCAGGTATGCAGGGCTTCAGGGGCTTGATCCTGGGACCCTGAGATCATGACGTGACCCAAAGGCAGACACTTAACTGACCGAGCTGCTCAGGTGCCCCTCCTTTCAGGTTTTAATTCAAAAATCACTTTCCCAGGGGCCCTTTCTTGGCCATGTATCTAAAACTTGCCATACACCACCCCCCACACCCATGCACCCCACCAGTGTCCCATCCTGCTGCTCTCTAGTCCCCCTCACTCCTTATCATCACTGAATATACTATATACTTTATCTTTTTTATCCTCAGTCTCACCCACTAAGACGTAAACTCCATGCTGTCAGGGATTTGTTTTTGTCTCTCTTTTTGGCGTGTCTGAATCCCCAAAGGTTAGAACAATACCTGGCACCCAGGCACTCTATAAATCTGCGTTTACTAGAGGACATATGACAGCGTTGCATTGGTTGTCATAGCAGGGAGTGCATGGGGGAAAGGAAAGTAAAATGGGCGGATGCTCACTATAAAAATATTTACAGTAGTTAGAAACAAAAGTCTAAATGTACAGACAGCAACATGAGTAGGTCATAAAGTCACAGTGCCCGGTGCAGAAATTACACACAGAACCACTGCACATTTTACAAGGATACGTACAAATCCAAGATACATATCAAACAGTGGGGCTGGGCAGAGGGAATAGAGATAAAGCGAAAAAAAATTAAAAGAGAAAAGAAAAATAAAGTTTTGTACCCATCCAGGTGGATAGAGGACAGCGAAATGAGATTAGCACTGTACCTGAGGTCTACTCAAAAATTATTTAATGTTGTGAATATATATTTTTGTTTCATACAAACTTTTTAAAAAGATCTTTTTTAATTCCAAAAAAATTGTTTTAAGTAATCTCTACTCCCAGTGTGGGGCTCAAACTCATAACCTCAAGATCAAGCATCACATGCTCTACCAGCAAAGCCAGCCAGGCACCCCTTGTACAAACTTTTTAATAAAAAAACTTTAAAATACATTTTTCGGGGGGGGGGGTTGGGTCGTTCAGTCAGTTGAGTGTCTGCCTTGGGCTGGAGTCATGATCCCAGGGTCCTGGGATGGAGCCTGAGTGAGGGTCCCTGCTCTGCCTGGAATCTGCTTTTCCCTCTCCTGCTGCCCCTCCCCCATTTCATGTGCTGCTCTCTTTCTCTTTTTTTTTTTCTTTAAAGATTTTATTTATTCATGATAGACATAGAGATAGAGGCAGAGACACGGGCAGAGGGAGAAGCAGGCTCCATGCAGGGAGCCCGACACAGGACTCGATCCCAGGACCCCGGGGTCACATCCTGAGCCAAAGGCAGATGCTCAACCACTGAGCCACCCAGGCATCCCTATATTGGCATATTTTTAAAGGCTTTTAATATTTGAAAATATTTTTTTATGAAGGAAGTGACCCATGATGGTCAGTGAGCCACAGGCTAGCCACAATTAAGACAATGAACATACTCATCACTTCCCCCCTTAAAATTTCCTTGGGCCCCTTTTAATTCATCACCTGCCATTTACCTCCCACTCCCCGAGCCACCTCGGATCTGCTTCTGTCTTTATAGTTTTCATTTTCTAGAGTTTTATATGAATGGAGTCACACAGCGCTCTGGTTTGGGTTGGGTTTTCACCCAGCACAATTATTTCAAGAGCCATGGTGTGTCAAGGGTTCAATCCCTTTTCTGGGGGCGGAGGGTCACAGGCACTCTGTCGCAGGGGACACCACAGTTCACTGTCACCTGTTAAATGGCCTTTGGGTTGTGCCTGGTGCTCTCTTTCCACTTGGTAAATACCAAGAATTAAAATGGCTGAGACCTATCGTAGGAGTTTAACTTGTAAAGAGGCTGCAAGTGGATTTTGCATTCACAGCAGCAGGGCGGGAGCTCGGCTTCCCCTGCAGGCTCCGGGGGCAGCTCCGGGTGGGGCAGCCCTTGTCCCCCCGCCTGGCCTGTCCAGCATGTTTGAACTTTGTGCTCCCCTAATAAACGATGGTGAACACCTTTCGTGTGATCCTTTGCCTCTCATCTGTCTTCTTTGGTGACGTGTGTGTGCAAACTGCCCATTTGCGGGGAGGAAGGGGTTGGATAGTGACAATGACTAATTAGAGGAAACCCTGTTGCATCCACCTGACCGAGAGCCGACGGCGTAAGGAGTCCCCGTGGGGAGAGGCCGCGGAGACCTAGAAGGGCCATCACCGCTGGGGACCGGGACCCGGACCGGGGGCGGGTGGAAGCTCAGACGGAGAAGAGAAACCAGTAAAGGCGGGGGGGGGGGGGGGGGGGCGGGGGACGCGGCAGGGCTCCTCCGTCCTGCGGGCCGTCCTCGGGGAAAGCCAGCCCGGCCGACTCCCCGGAGGAGGCGCGTCCGCCGCGGCCCCCGCCGAAGGGACCGGCACCGGGCGGAGTCTGACCGGGAACCCGGCCGTCGGGGGGCCGGCTGCAAGCGGGGGTTCGTTCTCTGCGCGGCCAGCGTGCGTTCCCTCTCCGGGGCCGGAAAAGGACGCGTCGCGGCCAAAACGTACGCGTGTTTCCGCCCGGTTTCGAACCGGGGACCTTTCGCGTGTGAGGCGAACGTGATAACCACTACACTACGGAAACCGGCCGGCAGCGGGTGCCTGCGCAGCGGGCTTGGCTGGGGCGGCTGGGAGCCGCGGGGCGCTGCGGGGGGGCGCTGGGGGGCGGGGTGCTGGAGGGGGCGCTGGGGGGGCGGGGCGTTGAGAGCGGGGCGCTGGGGGGCCGGGGTGCTGGAGGGGGCGCTGAGAGCGGGGCGCTGGGAGCCCCGGGGCGCTGGGGGGGCGGGGCGCTGAGAGCGGGGCGCTGGGGGGCCGGGGTGCTGGAGGGGGCGCTGAGCGCGGGGCGCTGGGGGGCCGGGGTGCTGGAGGGGGCGCTGAGAGCGGGGCGCTGGGAGCCCCGGGGCGCTGGGGGGGCGGGGCGCTGAGAGCGGGGCGCTGGGGGGCCGGGGTGCTGGAGGGGGCGCTGAGCGCGGGGCGCTGGGGGGCCGGGGTGCTGGAGGGGGCGCTGAGAGCGGGGCGCTGGGGGGCCGGGGTGCTGGAGGGGGCGCTGAGAGCGGGGCGCTGGGAGCCCCGGGGCGCTGGGGGGGCGGGGCGCTGAGAGCGGGGCGCTGGGGGGCCGGGGTGCTGGAGGGGGCGCTGAGAGCGGGGCGCTGGGAGGCCCCGGGGCGCTGGGGGGGCGGGGGCGCTGAGAGCGGGGCGCTGGGGGGCCGGGGTGCTGGAGGGGGCGCTGGGAGGCCGGGTGCTGGGAGCGGGACGCTGGGAGCCCCGGGGCGCTGGGGGGGCGGGGCGCTGAGAGCGGGGCGCTGGGGGGCCGGGGTGCTGGAGGGGGCGCTGAGAGCGGGGCGCCGGGAGGCCGGGTGCTGAGAGCCGGACGCTGGGGCCCCGGGGCGCTGGGGGGGGCGCGGTGCTGGGAGCGGGGCGCTGGGGGCTGCGGGGGGCGCGGGGCCCGCTGGAAGCCGCGGGGCGCTGGGGGGGCGGTGCTGGGAGCGGGGCGCTGGGGGGCGCTGGGGGCCGCGGGCCTGACCGCCGGCGCCCCCTGCAGGCAGCCTCGGCCGTCACGGCGCTCCTCGCCGGGTCCCGCGGCTGCGCCCCGGTCGGGGGGTCGGGGGGGCGGGGGTGAGGGGGAAGCAGGGGGCCGGCGCCGGCTCGTCCGGGTGCGGAAAAGCGGCTTCCGTCCGAGACAAGGAGAACTCTGGGTGTTGGCCCTTGCGGAGGACGCCTCCGTCCCGCCTCCCGTGTCTTTCCCCCGCGAGTCCCCTTCACGCCTCACGCTCGGTGTCTGCGCCCCAGACGTGGGGGGGCCCCGCCTGGGCCCCGGCGCCCTGGCCCTGCCGGCAGCGCGGTGCTGACCCTGGAGCCGCCGGCGTCAGCCCCACAGGTGCACCTGCGCCTGCCGGACCAGCTGGGCCGCGCAGGTTCCCTGGGCCGCCTGCTCGGGCTGATACCGGTGGGGACTCGGGAAGGGCCAGACGGAGGGAGGCCTGGGTCGGGTGCCTGGGGGGGCACGGGCTTTCCGTGTGGGCCACCCCCACCCCACCACCGCCCTGTGGTCCCCAACCCCGGAGCCCCGCCAAGCCCCTACTTAAGGGACTGTTTCTGGGGAGGCCTCATCAGGTAGGAACAATCCATTATCCTCTCTCCAGAGGAGGGGGGCTGTCGCTGAAATTTCCAAGCTTCCAATCATCATGGTTTTTCTGGGGACTAGGCCCCATCCTGAAGCTCTCCAGGGGCCCCCAGGAGTCCCCTCGTCAGAACAGAACACATGCCCACCCAGGAAATTCCGAAATTCCGTTCGGAGCTCTGTGCCAGGAGCCAGGTCTAAGAACCAATGTTAGGACAAAAGAGCGTTCTAGCACCTCTTCTTAGGTGTAATTTCTTGGGAAATTAGAGGTTTTAGGAGTCCTGGCCGCCGGCCTGGCATGAAGACCCTGGTGTGTGTTTCTTGTTAAATCACAAGATCACATTACCTATGCCGGGGCTGGGGGGGGGGTGCAGAGGAGTTGGGGCTCTCAGTGGAGACCCAACTAAGGCTTAGAAAGTTGGAGAACGGTGAAGTCACTCCAAAGCACAGAGCTCAGCAGGACACTCGGCTCAGGAAAGGTTGTCCAGGGCTAGGATGGCACCAATGAGCGCTGGATAAAAGGCAAAGGCGGCCAACCAGCCGCGCCCCAGGTGCTCGCCTGCTCCGCTTCCCAGGTGAGACTCGCCCAGGTGCCCACCACCTGCTGGGCCCAGCACCCAGCTCGCCACCGCCCGGGCCCCAGCGCTTGTGATCCCGAGCCTGGTAGCAGGTCGGCCGTGGGTGATTCCAGAAGCCAGACTTGGAAATCACCACCACCACTTCGGGAGCCCAGAACTTCGCTTCATCTCTCCCAAAGCCCCGCTCCAGCCGGAGGGAAGGCCACTGCTTCCTTCACCCCAAGTCGAGCCCTGAGTCAAGAATTAAAGGGGACCCCGAGGGGCGCCTGGGTGCTCAGTCGGTGGAGCGGCTGCCTTTGGCTCAGGTCATGATCCCCGGGCCTGGGCTCCCAGCCCAGCAGGGAGCCTGCTTCTCCCTCTCCCTCAGCTGTTCCCCCTGCTTGTGCTCTCTGGCTCTCTCTTCCTCTCTCTGTCAAATAAATAAATAAAATCTTAAAAACTTAAAGTGGACTCTGGGCTGGCTGGAGGGACCCTACCCTTGGGCTGAGGGAGGGGGCAGCCAGGGTGGGGTGCAGTGGGGGCTCCCATCCGCGAGCACCTTAGCCTGATGTAAACGGCCTCTCTGCAACCTCTCCTGTGAGCCCGTTTCATTTCTTCTTACTGAAATATATTTTAAAAGTAAGAATGCTGATCCTTTACTCAAAGGTGTGAATTAAGAATGTGAGTTCATGGGACGCCTGGGTGGTTCAGTGGTTCAGCATCTGCCTTCAGTTCAGGGCATGATCCTGGGGTCCTGGAATCGAGTCCTGCATCGGGCTCCCTGCATGGAGCCTGCTTCTGTCTCTGCCTGTGTCTCTCATGAATAAATACATAAAATCTTTTTTTCTTATTTTTAAAAAATTCTTAATACATAAAATCTTAAAAAAAAGAATGAGTCCTTCTAGCTGTGATTCTCAAGAGAGACAAAGGGCAGAGTCAAACACCCGGTTGCTGGGCTGATCAGCACCTGAGATCCAGGCAGGCTGTGGAGACAAGATGTCCTTCCAGTGATTCCAGAATGCTCCTCCTCCCCTGAAAGTCACTGAGCTGTTATTACACTTTCACTCGGAAACATGCACAGCAATTCAGATATCTGCTAAATCTAGAAAGGTTTAGGTCCATATCTATGTCAATGGAAGCACAGTATAAGTAACTATGAAACTCACTTTGAAATCCTTAAAATGGTTAAAATTGGAGTTCTAGGCGGCCCAGGAATTTCATCCTTTCGGTCTTCCCCCTGGTGGCTGGCACCTGGCAGGCAAGTCCAGAGCCAGGCAAATACCCCACCGGGCTTGCAGGATCAGAATGCCACCCTTCATCCCTTGTAAAACAGGGATGTATTCCTATATGGTAACTAACTGCTTGATTTTACGTGTAAGCTTGGAAATAAGAGGAGTAAGCAGAAGCGGTGGCCTAACAAATCAGTTCAATGGCCGGGAGTTACTAAACCCTGGTCTCTTATGGGAATAAGATGGGAATGAGTCACCACTACGCTAATGAGGAAGGAGACCAACTAGCTACAGGGCTTTGGTTGCTCTTGTGCCTCAGCTCCAGGCTACCGCCCCCGTGACAGGTGGAGGAGAATGTCAGAAACATCACTGGCTTTCCACCCCTCCCCCGCCCAGGCCACCTGCGCCCCCAGGGTTGTGGTTGGGGTCATAGCCAGCCCCTCTTCCCACCGGGGATGCAGAGGTTGCTGGGAGGGGTGAGGCTGCCGGGTCCCTCATGGGAGTGGGCGAGCAAGGGGTGAGGCTCCGCCTTGCAGAAGCAACGGGGCAGCAAAATCCAACTGCAGGCTCTGGAGCGAGGCCTGCCCTGCCGGGCTCCCGCCGGAGGAGGGGGCAGCAGGCCATCGTGAGAACCGACCGTCTGTGGACGTCTGTCCGCTGTCCCACAGGCAAAATCACCTGGGGGGCAGCCGAGGCCTGCCTGGTAGGTGCAGCCCAGGCGTCCGCAGGTCTTCGGCCGCTTCGTCGAGACGCAGGACGGGGAGGATGGCCAACCAAACCGAGCCTCCCACTCCAGCTGGGACGTTTGAGAAAGAAGCCTCAAACCATGAAAATGCAAATGTATTTGTACTCAATTTACCATCTGGTCCTTGGATCAGCGACCAGCGCTGTGGGGCTCAGTGGGAGACGAGCCGGTCAGCAGAAACGTGCTGCTAGAGGTAGTGAAACGTAAAGCTTCTCCCCTTCCTGGGCCTTCCCTCCCAGCTCGTCGGGGTGGCTTTTTATTCGCTCTTTAATGTCGTTCTATGTAAAGAAACATTAAAATAATTAGCGTGGATTTTACCAGTTCTCATCAGATTGGGCAGGGCCCATTTCTCAGCCTCTGCCTTAGCTTGAGTTAACCGTCGTCGAGCTTCTCTCCTCCCCACCGGCCCTCGGGCCGTGGCGTGTCCCCAAGATCCAGCAAATATGCAGAGCATGTCCCATTTACTAGCTTATTGTGACTCTCTGTTGACCTAAGCGAAACCCATTTCCTGGGAAGCTGCTCTCATGACGCTCTATTCTCTCCCCCCGCTGCCTCAACTTGCCCCTAAAAGTTTCTGCTAAGCTCTGCTTGCCCTTCCCTGCGAAAGAATCACCCTGTGCTGTTTGATTTGAGACATTTGCAGATTTCCGAGCTGGGGGCATGCCCTCCTTTTCGAGAAGTCCTCTCCTTATCTAAGTCTGGATTTGTGTTTAGTTGACAGGTCACATATAAAAGCGTTCAACTCAGGCAGCACCACTGAACCACGCAGTCCCGGTCTCACAGCCGCTGGGCGGCAGGGGTGGTTGTCCCGACCAGACCGGCCGGGCCGTGGCGCAGAGCTGACCCACCGGGTTTAGTTTACTTCTAAGCGCGCACGTTCTACGCCGTTTCCTCCCTTGGGCTTGCTGCTAAGGAAGGAAGGAAGGAAGGATGGAAAGGAGAAGACACTGGCCTGTGCTCACTTTGTTTTTCCTCCTGTGTCATTGTCCCCCCCCAGCGGCTGGCTAACCCGGGAAGTCACTGAGACAGGCTGGGAGAGCATTCCTTGGCCTTGGTTTTTCTTAGAAGGCCTTCCTTTTTGCCTTGGAAGCAAATTCTGCGTGGGTTGGCCAGTGTGGCCTCTGGGCCGGCAGGTTCTCACGGAGGTCAGGGGCTCACTTCATGCTCCACCAAGTCTCGGATGCCCACTGCCTGCCTCCTGGGTCCTTCTGGAATTCTGTGTGCAACTAGCAAACGCTACAAGCAAATGGCAGCAAGGACGGTGTTCACGAATATTCCCAGTAGCTTCTCTGCTCATACGCAGGCTTCACTGCCCCTCTGGACTCCAGTTAGGAGGAACACGTTCAAGGTTATTTAAAATTTCCGGGATACTCTTCAGACATCTGAAGTTTCTACCGCAGGCTTGACTGGGTCCTAAGATCCTTTGTCACAAGGTGCTGCTGGGCCCCAGTAGGCGCCCCTCCCTGGTGGTCTAGTGGTTAGGATTCGGCGCTTTCACCGCCGCGGCCCGGGTTCGATTCCCGGTCAGGGAAACCTGTTTTCTTCCTGCTCACCCGCCACCTTCTACTGTTGCTCTGAGCGACTCCGTTTTAACCGAGGCTCTTTCCCGAGGCCCACAGGTCGTGTCACCGGTGTTGAAGGGACAAGGGCCCCGTGAAGAATGAGAAAGTCCTCGTGGGATTCAAACTTGCCTCGGCCACCCTTTATGGGAAAATACGGAATCATTCTTTTCCTGGGAGAACATTTCTACCCGACACAAGGGAGTTGTGTCAAATGACTGTGACAACTCTTAGGGTTTGGCTGGTGCAGGCAGGCTCCCAGCAATGGAGGCAATGTGCCCCCCCCCCACGTTCAGGGAAACCCTAAGTTACATTCCAGGGGTGGAGACAACGCACGTGATTTTACCAGATCCTCTGCTGCTTGGTCTTTTGTAAAAACCAGAATATATTTCTACATGATAATTAGTTCGCTCTACCTGTAAGACAGGAACTATGGTAAATAGATGAGGACCGATCC